TTTCCGTTAACAATCAAGTCCAAAAGTAGAGAGAAACTGTGCCGCCTCACTCAGAATTATTAGGGAGTTTTGCTAAACCATATTCAGGAAATATACATTACATGTAAGGAGGAGTCTTTCTTTGTTGGGTAGTAGCTGTTGTGTCAAAGAAAAATATAGCAATAAAAAGACATTTCTTAAAGCAAAGAAAACCCCTAATATATATGCACAAAGCCCTTGTAGGCACAACTCCTAATGAGTTTGCCTGAGAAAAAGCAGAGTCCTTAATGAGAAAAGAAATCAGTTCAAATAAAATATCCACACTTGTTTAAAGCTAGTATTCAAAGCAGATAAAATTACTCTTAACCACCCACTGTCACCGTTGCAGCAGGCATTTCCTCATTTCCCACATTTAGTCTTTTTTTTTCTGTTAGCAAACAGCCAAATGATCATCACATAACTTCATATCATTTTTATTATGTTTCATTTCTCCTTCCTGAGGAATTCTGTGCTGGAAATTCATATCTAATTTATTGTGGAAGGCACAGTGAAAATCACCCTTATTTTTTTAGGTGACCAAGAAGCAGGTGAAATATGGCCCCAAACCCTAGCTTCTGTCAAGGCTTCAATAATAATGCTAATCATTTAAAAGAGGGAGTCAGCAAAGATACAAGGATAAGAGACCACAAGAAACATCAAAGGAAGAAGGGAAGGGGATGAATATGTGCCTGTAGCATGTGTGACATTTCCTGTCGCTCTCCAGGGTCAAACTGGAGCATTGATGATAAAAATGATTAAGGCAGAATATTTCTTCGAGCACTCTGGCTGTAAATGGCACATTAGAAAGTTAAACAACAAAAAAAGAACAGATGTGCCCTTTTTTATGGAGTGGTTAAGAAGCAATCTAACAACAAACAGGTACTGGGTGTCCACTATGTGCCAAGCACAGAGACAAAATGAAATAGCCCTTGCCCCAGAGAGAGTTCTAAGGGGTAAATGGTTAGGAAGTCACAGACTTGGTTTAGGAGGAGTAAGGTGCAGGCTGATATCAGGTGATAGGAAATTAGTCTCATCTGAGGCATTTCCAAGGTTTTGATCGAGGTGGAGCCTTTGTGGGTGATGTTAAGATCAGTGGTATGACCATCCCTGTGTGTGGCTGATAGCAACTGGAGAAATAGGGGTTGTGGAATTTAAGAAAACTGATGAACTAAGAGAGTAGGCTGTTTGAGGGAACATTGACATTTATATATTAATGTTATGTATATGTTGATATATTAATAATTAATGATAACATATTAATAAGAATGCTATATATGTTAATATATATTTAAGTCCTCTGGTATAAGGGCAGGAGTTAGGGAAGAGAGGAAGCCTATAAACCTGGTACTGAACTCCTTGAGAAGAGATGGCGAATGACAGCAACCACCATGATCCAGATTGGGTAAGACTTCAGAGGAAGAGAGGTTTCTGAGTGATTACAGTAGCAGAAGGCATCCAATAGCAAAAGGAGAGAACAAAGAGTATTATAAACTCCCCTCTAGGCCCAAAGTGATGCAGGTTAAAGAGGTACAGCTGGTGCTAGAGAAAATGACCTGTGGTGCCATGTCACTGGGGAAGAACGAGGTCTCTGTGAGTAGCAGAGGAAGGGGTCCAAAATAAAGAGACGTGTGTTAGATTGGGAGAGTAATGGGTTGTATGAATTTGGTAAGTTTTAGGAGTATTAGTAGTAGAAGTTTGTAGTAGTGGTAGAGAAGGAGGAGGAGGAGGAGGAGGAGGTGTAGGTGTAGGTGTAGGCATAAGTTTAGTAATAGAACTAGAGTAGAAGATGGCAAATGCTTTGAATGCTCACAGTATCTTGGGCCTTGCCCTGGAGTCTAGGCTACCGGATGGGGATTAGGGCTTTGCTCTTAAGTGGGATGGTCTTTGTGTGGGCAGGAGGGGTCAGGGCACTGCCAAAAGGTGAGGTCGTCTTTTTGCAGGCAAACAGGCTCAGATTTCGGCCCCAGAAGGTTAGGGGGAGGTGTTCTGTGTGCAAAAACAAAAGCAAAACAATACCTGACTTCAAGGAGCTTACATTTTACATACTAAAAGGGGAGAGAATGTGTGTGTGTGTGTATGTATACATATATGCTTACATATATGTGATTTGTATATACATGCATACACACATACACAACATACAAGAGCTGCAAAAGGTGGTGCTTGAGTTTTGTCTTGAAGGAAAGCAGAGAAGGGGGAGTGTTTTCCAGACATGGCAGTCAACTAGTACAAAGGCATGAAGAATAGAAATGGAGCAGCTAGATTACTCAGTGGAGAAAGGACAGCCTAAAGTCAGGAGGACCTGGGTTCAAATGCAGCCCTAGATACTTACTAGCTCTGTGACATTGGGCAAGTCACTTAACCTCAGTTTGCCTCAGTTTTCTCAAATGTAGAATGGGGGCAGTAATACCATCTGGGGTTATTTCAGGGTTCCTTCAAGGATCAAATGAGATAATATGTCAGGCACAGTGCCTGACACATAATAGGTACTATAGAAATGTTAGCTGTTAACTATATTTGTATTATTATAGAGGTATATATGTATTATTATTATTTTATAAGAACAGCAGTGAGTAGGGGGCAGCTAAATGGCGCAGTGGATAGAGCACCGGCCCTGAATTCAGGAGGACCTGAGTTCAAATCCGGCCTCAGACCAAACACTTGACACTTACTAGCTGTGTGACCCTGGACAAGTCACTTAACCCCAATTGCCTAAAAAAACAAAAAACAAAACAAAAACAAAACAAAACAAAAAAAAAGAACAACAGTGAGTAAGCCTGTAAGTCTAAGGTTGCAAAGTAAATTGAGGCCTAGTTGTAAAGAGCTTTAAATACCAAGTGAGAGAATTTCTATTTGATACTCTTGAGATAGTCAGAACCACCGAGTTTGTTGACTAGGATAATGGCATGGTTAGACCTGAACTTTAGGCAGATGCCTTTGGCAGCAGTATGGAGGGAGGCTTGAGGCAGAGAGTCTCACCCCCTACCCAGGAGTGAGGAAGAACTGTTCATGTGTGCAGGCCTTAGACCAAGGCTTCTCATCTGCTGCTCACAGAATAAGCATTCTCACTCTTGGCTTTCCACATCAGTGTTCTAATGGGAAAGAGAGGGAAGGCGGCTGCTTACAGTTGTTTCACTGGCAGCAGCCTCCCATACAATTTGGTGGTTTCTTCCTAGCATGACTCATCATCCTCTGGGAAGCTTAGAGCTCTGACTCTCCCTCAAAGCGGTGGAGTAGAGTCCACATTGAGCCATCTATGGAGCAGAGCCCTTAAGGGGACATTCCTCACTCTTGACTTTAAGCTGCCGCTCATCCCAGGATCCTGAAGTCCACCAGACTTCCAAATGCCCTCTCTGGACCACTTCTTTCATCGCTGCTGCCTCAATCCTGCAGCTCCGTTCATCTTTCTTTTTAGCACTCGGGCTGACCATAAGGTCAGGGCCATCCTGAAGCTTGGAGCTCATGCTTGTCATCTAGGGCATAGATATTTAAACCCAGTTACACATGTGCCTGTTTAGGGGGAAGGTGGTCTACATGTGGGATGGACAAGTATTATCACAGAAGGGGAGAGCAGCTTCTTCAATGGAGAGAGGATTTATACTTAGATGGAAGGACATGGAGGAAAGAGGGAATAGCCATCTCCAGTTTTATAATTTGGTGATCCTGGTTTCCCAAACTCTAGCCCATCACTCCTGAAATTAACAGTCATCTGTGTAAAGCCTATATCAGATTGTGTGTCTTCTTGGGGAAGGGGAGGGGAAGGAAGGGGGAGAAAAACCTTCAACTCAAAAGCATATGGAAGTGGTTGTTGATAAATCAAAATAAATTAATAAAAACAATCATCTGTCTACTTTACTCTGAGAACACATGTACAACATTTGGAGTTGATACATTATGGGGCAGCAAATACAGTACCAGACCTAGAGAAGGGAAAACCTGAGTTCAAATGTGGCCTCAGAGATTTGGC